AATTAATCATTACCCCATATACCTTGTGATAACACACTCAGTGCACAGGAGGGAGCACAATGTCAATATCGACACATATCAGTTCTTCCATCAGAAATCCTGTTAACACAACCTTCCCCAAAAGCCATTTCAGACAGATCAAGTGGGATGACTACAGATGCAGTTTTAAAAAAAAATCTCTTTTCAAAGCTATGCAGAAATAGAATGTGCTTGGAGAAGCCAGCACAGACTTTAATCTGTTGAATGTGAAAACGACTTTGGTTCAAGTTTTTGCAAACTTTGTCACTTAGGCGTGCACTTTCCATTTGTGAAAACAGTTTTGACTATTGTTGTTGCATCAGAAGGAAACCAGGATGTATTACATCAGCCTTGGTGTTGAACATTTTCAGAGCAAGCAGAGTCACATTTAACTTACGTGACTTACCTGCAGAAAGGAGAGATGGAGAACTATAGTGCACCGAATCTCAGACACAGCCAGTTGGAAGTGTTAGTTTACGTACTACTAAGAAAGGAAAACACTGCCAATTAAAGTATGACACACTGTTGGTTATAGGACATGTTTTGCTTTCAAAGATGTTAAAATATGAAAGAATATGTACCTTAGAACTGGTGAACTAAGGAATTAAAATAGTGCAGGTTGATTTACGCTGCATTCCAGGCAGTAATAATAAGCTTTGGAGTACATAATGGCCTTGAATTGTATCTTCCTGCGCATGGTCTCCTCTGTTTTTTCCCGGATTCACAGCCAGGCAACTTAGGGAACAACCTAGTTAACCAAATGCAAGCCAAGATCTTCCTGTGATACCTTTTTACGGGGTCTGCTAGGGTGAGTTGTCAAATAAAATACAAGAAGCCCAGTTAAATTTGTATTTCAGGTAAACAACAAATAATTGTTTAGTATAAGGATATCTCAATACTGTATGAGACATCCTTATCCTAAAACAAGTCACTGAGTGTCCTGTATTTTTATCTGCCATATCTGGTAAACGTACCCCTGGGGTATTGACTGCCTTTGGCCTCCACCACATTCTTTTATCATAGGCCCTTAGCTTTTACTGTGAGAAACCTTGATTAATACCTTCACTCCTTACGAAAACTCTAAGGAGCTACATTTCCTCCCAAGATTTGGGTGTCTCAATTAGTTGCTTTGGATCTGAACTCTAATAATAACTTCTAATCCTTCTGCAAAGTAGTTAGGTCTAAAAGATACAGATCACTGGGGAACTATGGAGATGCAAAATACTTTTACTCCTAGAAGCAACCTCTGTAAAGTTTTCAGTGCTCGTTGTCATTAGGTCAGTGTTATTTTAGACTAAAAATAATGCTAATGACAGTAGGAGTAGCAGCAGCAGCAGGGAATATGAAATACCACTTACTATGTGTCAGGCATGGCACTGCTCACAACTCTTTTTCCTACTCCCATTTTACAAAGGGGAAAACTGACGCTCAAAGAGGTTAAAGGAACTTGTTCTTCTCATTGTTCAAGCTTAGACCTAACTCTCGCCTTGTTGGAGAGCCATTTCTGGATGATCCATAGATAACCTCTCTCCCTCCATCACTCTTTATCATAAGTTTCTTTGTGAAACCAAGGTGATACTCAAAAGCCTTTGCAGTGAGGGCAGCTCTATCCAGCACCCTTCCCATTTGGTAATCCCATCTCACTAAGAATTGGCCATTTGGTGTCTACCCTCCCTACCTGTGTGTCCCAGGAGAACAATAAAGGAGTCTGGTTCAGTGTTCCAATGCTAGGTCTGGCCCCTGGCATTACAGGGACAGAGCAAATGTCTGGTGTGTTAACAAGTAGTCACCGCCCTCCCCTGTGGACAGCCAATAATCTGGAAGGCTTATCAGAAGTGAAACTCCTCCATTAAAGTTCACCCATGGCAAATAGTGTCTTTTGGATAAACTACTATATAAGATCATTAGAGCTTTCTTTCTGTTAGCCAGGCAAGAAGTTGCAGCCACCAGGTTCTTAGATTGCTTTAGGGAGATGGAACTTTACTTCAAACTGTAGCATTTTTAATCTTCAAGTTACCTGGATGGATCTTCTAGGACACAAGTCTTGCCCACCAGGGCCTTTCCCAGACTCCCTATTTCTGCAGAGATTAAAAATCCATTCAAACGCTCCAGAACTGCATCCGCATCTTAGTGCTGCAAAGACAAGCCTTGTAGCCCAGACATCCTGTGGACAGAGCATAAACTGAAGAAAAGCAGTTCCAGAGCAAGGCTTGCAAAGGACAGCAGTTATACTGTTGATAGGATCACAAGCAATGTGCTTAAAGGCAAACGTATTATTTCTATATGTATGTGGGCTCTATCTACACACTTCTCCCACCGGCAGTGATTCTCAACAATAAGTGCACCTTAGATCTGGCTGAGAACCTTGGTTTTAAATTCCCAACCCCAGCCTACCCCAGACCAATTAAATCAGAAGCCCTGGGGTGGGTTTTATTTTTTAAAGCTTCCTAGATGATTATGGTGGGCAACCAGGGTTGAGCACCGCCGTTCTAAACAGAGCTACATGCTTCCATCTGGGGCTTTTAAGAGAGAAATCTAATAACTTTTAAAAGCTATGTACAACAGAGTTTTTGCAAAGATGATTAGTTTTTGTTTTATTTATTATTTCCTACTTCCCATAAACAACTTCTAAAGATTGGCACAATGTTACCATCTGTAAGGCATAAGACAATAACAGACGGTCGCCTAATAATCAGGAAGGCATTAACATTCACAGGCTCTAAATTATTTGGATTCATCTGGTATGATCTCTGTTGATGAGACCACTTAATGCTTGATTTCTGTGTCTTCCAATGACAGTAGCTGAAGTGGGAAGGCCATATTTCCTGGGTTTTGCATGTCTCTTTGTCATCCTGTCGAATTGTTACAAGATGGATTTATAACAGAGCTCAAGGTAGTATCAAAATGAAAATTAGCTCTTGAGTAGAAGAATGGCAATCCCGTTTCACTTGCCTGTAGCAACTGCAGCATGTTTGCCTCTGCAGGGAAGGAAATGACTTCTTAATGTGCTTTTCTTCCTAAGGAGAATTAAATCTACATGGCAAAATGTAAAACCAGTGTGCTGGCAGCCAAATTCAGAAGGGAAGATCCATGACCCTCATAAACGTATCTGTGGCCCGGTTATATGCTAATGAGCCTCATTTAGGCTCAGACTCAGCTGGAGTGCAAGGCTATGGTTCCCTCACTGTTTTGCCTTCTGTACCAACGTTGCGCTGAAATAAATGGAGAAATTTCTCCATCTGCTACGAGCTGCCAGAGTAGGGGCCTCTAGGTTAGATTTAGAGTTTGGGGCCTGAGATGGCAAATGTCATTATTTTAGTTGATGATAGACTTTTTGCTGAGTTGGCAAGATTATTTTTAAAGGATCAACTTTTAAAAAGTCTATATTTTAATCTGTTAAGTCAACCCTTTACAAAATGGAGAGGAACAGTATCTGTGGGATTATCTTTAGGGACACTGCAGATCCTTCAGGATAAACAAAAAGGCAAAAGTTGTTGGGGATAATTCTGTCACCTACCACTATGTAGCTGGGTGATCTTTGGACCAGGGTATGAACTTCCTCAGAACTCAGTTTCCTCCACAATAACATGGGGTTGAATAGCAACTGCTTCATGAGTCATTGTAAGGATTAAAAAAGATGATGCACGCCTATCATATCGTTAATGCTTGCTATCATTGGTGCTATTAAATTGTTTGTCTCAATCTCTAATGACTTTTAACACAAAACTCTATACTGTGCATTCCCATGAAGAATGAATGAATAACCTGCAGCATTTTACAATGTATAGAGCCACACTCGGGAACAATAAATTTAGTTAATGAAATTCAATCGTACTAGGAGATTAAGGGAGAAAATTGAGCTCTTCTAAGGAAGAGAGTTCTGAGAACATCCTCTCTGATAGAACTGAAATTTTATTCACTCTATATGTAAATCTGAGACATACACACAATTTTTTAAGATAAATATACCTGTAATCTGAGGAGGAGTTTAAAAGGATTCAAGTGTTAATTTTAAGACCAATTGTTAATTTTTTGTAAGTTGTTTTCTCATTTAATCTCTTTTACTGTTTTCCTACTTGAAGCCTCTTTTAATGGAAATTCTTATTACTTACTCAGTTCTCATGGCCCTTATGTTATCATAAATTTGGTTCGCTGAACAAAACTGCTTAAAGCTCATGTAAGAAAGTCTAAACCAAAAAGAGTAGGAGGTAAACCACAGGCCACCTTGAAGGAGAGATGTGTTGGTGGCAAACGCCATGCCTTCAAAATCCAGGAAGTAAAATAAATGAATGATATTTGTTAAACATAAGAAAATTAGAACAGCAGTAGAGATTATGGGGATGGCATATGCACCCCATTCCCCCACTTCATCCCAATCTGTGATCACCGGTATTAGTCCATTCTTGCACTGCTATAAGGAACTACCCGAGGCCGGGTAATTTATAAGGAAAAGCAGTTTAATTGGTTGCTCAGGCTGTACAGAAAGCACGGTTGGGGAGGCCTCAGGAAACTTTCAGTCATGGCAGAAGGGAAAGCAGGCACATCTTACATGGCTGGAACAGGATGAAGCGAAAGTAGAGGGAGGTGCTACACACTTTTAAACAATAAGATCCCCCAATGACTCACTCACTATCATGAGAACAGCCCCAATGGAGAATTCTGCCTAGATGGTCCAATCACTTGCCCCCAGGCCCACCTCTAACACTGGGGCTTCTAATTTGACATGGGATGTGGGCAAGGACACAGATCTATATCAGATCATCATCCCTGTCAGCCTCAGTAGATGATTACAATGCAGCAAATGATTAATTTAAATGTGGATTCTTTTGTAAAGCCTCTTCATTTGCAAGTTTTGGCAACTGAAGATACTTCTACTGGCCTCTAATTTGCAAATTTTGTTCAGTCTCTCCCAACCTCCTGATATTTGTTCAAAGAGATCCCAAGGGCCTATAAAAGAGCCTCTTCCATTTTTTTCTCCAAAGCTCCAGAAACACGACAAGGAAGAGGAGGACTCCCCGGCCTCTTGGAGATCAGAGGAGGAAATGGCAGCAGAAGCTGCAGCTCTGCGGGTCTACTTTCAGTGACGCAGGTAAACACTGCATTTCCTCATCACCCAGACCCTCCCAGGGCCCTCAGGAAAGGGGTTGCACTCTCAGAATGGGGATGCACAAAAACACCTTCACCAGCATCCTGAGGTGGTGGCTGCAAAGGACAAAAAGCTGGACGGGAGAACACCGTGGCCCTTGAGTACTATATTTCCAGTCTCCCAGTCTCTTCCAACTCTCCTGCCTCTTGTCACTCCCTTCCAAGCCAGCACCCCCAGCCCATCACCACCTTTCTCCACTCTATCCTGTAGTGGTGCTCCTGGGAATCCAAAGTTCACAAAGCTGACATTTTGTCATGCAAAACTTCTTGTTTAAAAGGTCAACCTCCCCACTTAAGGGTGTGACCTGGCCCTCAGGCTCAAGTCAGTCTGCAAAGCCCTGTAAACCATGTTTCTCTGCCTCCCTACCACTCCTCCCGGGGCAAACTCTTCTGCTTTCACTGGGAGGACTCCTCTCTTCTGTTGCTACTTGGTAAATTGCCCTTCATGTTTCCCTTTAGGTTCAGTGGCTAGGAAGCTCAGGCCACAGGGAAAAGTCAAGGGTTGATGGAATTAATCTTTGCATTAATGATGGCTAATTGTTAAGAGATCACAGGTTTAAGACTCTGGTAGAAAGATAACTATAGCCAATTTCCTTGTCAAAATGCTTCTACTCCAAATTTTTAGACAGTGTCTAAGGGGCTAGATCTAACTCACAACCTATATTATCTGTTCTAGTATCAGTTTCCATGGTTGACTTCTGGAATGACTGAAGGTGATGCCTTTGTTTGGTCTGTAAACAAAAATCGTTAAAGATGTTCAGGAGCAGCGGCTCACGGCTGTAATCCAAGCTACTCGGGAAGCTGGGGCAGGAGAATTGCTTGAACCCATGAGATGGAAGTTGTAGTGAGCTGAGATGGAGCCACTGCACTCCAGCCTGGATGACAGGGCAAGAATCCGTCTCAATCAAATCAATCAATTAGCAAAGCATTAAAGAGAGATGTAAATGGAGCTTTCTCTCTGAAATTTGTTTATAAATACAGGGTTGCCATGCAAAAACTGGCATATATCTAGACTAAAAAAATTACTTGTTTATCTCAGATTCAAATGTAACTGGTATCTTGTATTTTTCCTGGCAAACCTGTTAATAAACTCCCATGGACCCCAGTTACAGATCTGTTCCTTTAAATGTTTCTTTTTTCCTTTTTAGAATAAGATAGTTCCAAATTGGAATTAGGCAATTCTTCATCTGGCCTGTGAGTAAATGTGTTCATGTTATAAGTTGCAGAAGTAGATCAGATACAAATTAAAAACAAAATTAGTGAACTGAATTGTATAAAATTGTATCAGCCACTTAGTGATCATGAGTTTTGGCTGGAAAACACATTCATCGTATTCTGATTTCACTTTGAAACAGAAGTCTTCATTAGATAGTTTCAAATATATGTGCGTTTCTTGGCCTTTCTCTCCCCAGCCCTCTTTATAGAGTGTTGTTCTAATTACTTAAAGACCCCGACTACCTTTCCCCTTATTGTTGTTCTAATAATGGTCTTGCACTCAGATCCTTGCATTCTAGAAAGCTCATTTCATTCTCCCATGTCATAGCTTCCTCAGCTCTGCACTCAGTTGCCTGGGGGAATATGGCAAGTGCTATAGCAGAAGCTGTCTTTCATATTTTATTGTTAACCTTTTCCACTGTCATCTTTCTATCTCTCATTTTTTCAGGATCCAGCTGGTTTACCTAAGAATATAGGCCTATGGGCATCACTACAAACCTCTTTCTATTCCTCTTATGAAGGCCAGGATGTCATTTTAGAGCGCCCTGTTCAAATTTCAGTAGGGTGACAATACCTCAGACTTGACCTCCTAGGCTGAGTTTTTTCTCCTGAGTTTCCTATGCAGTGGGTATTTTCAGGTAGTGGCTAGAAAGTTTTAGGCTTTTTCCTAAGGCTTGCTGAATTGTAGGATTTTGTCTTAGAATGCATTTTCTAGACGCTTTAAGAAGATTCAAACTTATTACCCAAGTTTGCTGTAGGCTTTGCTTTGTCAGTTTTTTGTTTCTGTCTTGCCTTGAGGCCTGACATCTCATGTCTTCTAGGGAAATTGACTTCCCTTGTACATCTTAGCAGAAAGATATTTACCCTAACCTGTTACACAAACTATTGCCATAGTGCCTGTGGATTTTTGAGTAATATTTGTATTTCTCTTTAAGAGTTTTTGTGTACAGACCAAACAAATCACCCTCAGTCTTCCCAGCAGTCACATGTAGTAACTAAGACCAGGTGGATAATATAGGTTGCAAGGTGGCAAACAACTTAGGGTCCTAAGATTTTACCAAGAGTGTCATCATTACCTATAGTATAATCGGACTAAATATACTTCCCTTTAAGGACAAAGGAAACATTCTATTGAAACCACCCTCACAGGGTTAACAGTTACATGCTGGGTTCTGGACAGAAATACAGTTGTAATTAAGCATTAATCGGGCTGCACTTTGGCCTCCTTCTTCATAGCCAAAAGTCATGGAGCACCAGATGCTGACCATTTGCCTCCTTATTGTTCCTATACAAAAGATTTCTGATGTTAGAAGGCTTTTGTTTAAAAATTGCTTAAGATGTTTTTCAGATCCTGAATGCCATCAAAAGGGCTAATGCCAACCACTTTGAAGACCACCCCCAGAGGAACCGAATCAGCGTGAAAATGCAGTTTCTGCATCTCCCCATCCTGTGACTTCATGCTGCATTCTTCAACCAGTGAGCCCCCACCTCGGCCCTCCAAACCCTTTTAAATACCTAGGTCTAAACGGCTCAGACAGGCAGGCTTGAGGTTTCCTCCTGTCTCCTTATTCAGCAGCCTTGTGATTAAACTTCCTTCTCTGCTGCAACCTGCATCTTGGTGTATTGACTTGCCATGCATTAGTCAACAAACCTGTTATAGTTACTTTTTTTTAAGGAAATTCAGTCATTGGATTGGTCCATTGCTTCTCTGACACTCATCCCTTCCCTTTTCAAAAAAATGTGTCTACATATTGAATTTTTATACTTTATCAAGTGGTTCAGGAAAACTCTGAAATTTGTTATTAGGGCAATTATGAAACATTTAGACATAGCTAGACTTTAAAAATTGTTCATCTGAAGTTCACATAGACTTGGCCTTCCCCAGCTTTGGTGATTGATTGATTATTCCCTCAGCAGCAAGTTAGTTAAAGACATTCATGGTGCTCACTCTGCAAAACCACACAATTCTCAACGTGCACAGACGCAGGGCTCAGCCCTGGAATTGATAATGGTGGCCAACACTTGCTGAGAATTTACAAAATGTAGACTCTGTTATCCTGTCTTGCAAGTGATGAGAAAAGATGAGAAAACTAAGGCTTAGGGATGTTAAGTGCTAGTTCAAGGCCAATGGTAAGTAGCAAAGATCAGATTTGAACCCAGGCAGTCCCACCCTAAAGACCATTCTCCTAGTCTGTGTCCTGCCCTCCTTGATAAAAGAGCTCACCACCTCTCTAGCCACTTTCTTCTCCCTGTCCCAACTCTTCTTGTACCCTCCAAATATTCTGTTTAGTCTCTTCACCTTATCTGCTGGCCTATATCTGCCTTGAGGACCTCCTACCTCCTCCCCTGCTGGGCCTTCTTACCTGTCTTGTTAATACAACCCTGTCCAGCACCTGCCTCCCCGGTCACACTACAGCCAGGTAGCAAAAACCAAAATGGGCCTGGATTCCTCAACCAACTTTGTTCTACCTGCAAGTTTTTCAGATCATGATGGTTCCTGCCTAGGCTGCCCTCCCTCTTTCTTTCCTTTACCATCTGACAACATACCTAAATGAACAGGACCTTGGACACATACAGTATTTCCCAAATTGCATTCATTCCCATTTTGTCATGATTTTTCTTATCTTTGTGGACCACCTAGAGCATTATTTACTTGATTTGCTTTTTAAATTTTAGTACATTTATCTTAAACTTTATATCTCAGCCTCAATAAAAAATAAGTACTACTTGTAATTAGAAGTTAAGCATAAACATAAACAGAGAAAGATGATGCTGATGATTTTCAGCTCTGCATAGCTGCTTGCCTTAGCTACTAGGACTGGGATTCAGTCTCTCTGTTAAAAAGTGAGGCTAGCCACCATTAGAGAGGCATTTAATTCTAGCACCAAACAGAAACTCTCCATTTGGCATATTCAGAAGGATTAAACAGAATAACCCAGTCAGAGATTCAGTGTAGATCACTTAAGATTGTCTTAAACAGGAATATGACTACCAATTTTGGAGAAACAGCAGTAGAGGCCAGATCTTAGCCTAGAGCAAACTGGCTGTAGACCCTAAGCCAGTACTATTTTTTTTCCAACCTAAGCCAGTAGTACTACTTCCCCCCCCCCAGGCATATCAAGAAGATAAGGTACATGGGGGAAAACCAAAGAGTCAGCTTCCAAAGGACTGATGGGTCAAATCTCAGTGCCTGCCCTTGACGTTTTGCTTGCCAATAGTCTATCTTTAAAACGAACAGGTTGCAGAGAAAAATGTGAACACCTATATCCAGAGATGCCCTATATAAGAAAAGGGACTATAATACCAGAAACTGCTCCTGACTTCATATTTGGGTTATATGATTTGGCTGTGTCCCATACCTAGTTATATGATTTGGCTGTGTCCCCACCCAAATCTCATCTTGAATTGTTGCTCCCATAGTCCCCACATGAGAGGGATCCAGTGGAAGGTAATTGAATCATGGGGGAGGGTCTTTCCCATGCTGTTCTCATGATAGTGAATACATCTCACGAGATCTGTTGGTTTTATAAAGGGCAGTTCCCCTGCATATGCTATCTTGCCTGCTGCCATGTAAGACGTGCCTTTGCTCCTCCTTTGCCTTCCTTCATGACTGTGAGTCCATTAAACCTCTTTCCTTTTTAAATTACCCAGTCTTGGGTATGTTGTTGTTATCACCATGAGAACAAACTAATATACCTAGCAACTCCTTGTTAAGTATTATGTTCTATATCTTCTTTACATATAAAGAATCCTTAGCATAGCAAGAGTGCCATTAGGACAACAGAAGTAAACATTCTGAAGCTATATACTGTCTCCTCAGCCTCTTAAACCCATCAAAACACCAACATTAGATTAGCTGTGCGGAAGAATTCTCTTTATCTTCCCATATAACCCCATATAAGCAGGAGATTTTGGTGTTTTAGCTGCTCTCTGTAAACTTTGCCTAGCAGAAAATGACTTTGAATTGCAGTTTCTTGAGCAATAGTGAGAAACAGATATTGCCTTCACCATGCACAAGGAGCTCAACAGCCCAAGTGTTGCTGAATGAAACTGCAGTTGACTCACTCACCACCTGACAGATCCTTGATGAGGCTGGCAGTCCTTTGGTTCCAGGAATTCAGTGTCTGCTCTCTGCATAGGTGAATTTATGCATTGGCTCCCTACACACTGGACTGAGTTCCGGGATAAGGGATTTGCAGTGGCTCTTTTAGTCTATGTTCTAAATCACATTAGTTGACAAGAGACCTGCATTTCTTATCTAACGTTGCCGTCTTCCTGGAGGATGGTAATTCTTTATGCAGGTATTGATACTTGGATTTGCTACCTCTATACACCCAAGAAGTTTTTCTACTTAATTTTAAAGCAATGGCATGTGTCCTAGTGACTATTGGGGGAAGATTTTGCCATCTTCCCATCCTCCCCTCTCCCATTCCACATTAGAATTGAGGGGGTATGTTGTTTGTAAAATATGCAAGCATCGCCCCTAATTCTGATGAAAAGTCAGAGCAGAGCAGGTTTCCACACCCTGTTGTGTCAGCAGAGCTCACTTGTAATTCATCAGGCTCTCCTCTGTGCACGTCGTTATTTTATAGATAATTGGTTGCCTCTCATTTACTCATAATGGGGCCATGCAATTTCAAAGCAACGGAGTCAGCCCAAAATAACATTATTAGTAGTTATAGATATATTGTCAAGGCAAAATTTCGACACTGGAGTTTTTGAAAAATCACCGTAATTTCAGCCACTGGATCACCCTCATATCATAATTGTGGACAGTCAAGGTGGTTGAGAAACGACAGGCCTATTTAGCACATGTCCTGGTCTGTAAATTGTTACCTTTTGAAATCTGCCCCAAATCTCCACCACCTCAGAGATGTTCTACTGTCAGCACAGCAGCCTCTAATGAGAAAGGCCCAGGAAGCTGATCATAGTACTCTCATATTTTCTTGGGGAAAAGGCGGATTTTAAATTCAGCTCCATGACCAATTTAATCTTAAACCCACTAGATCGTCCCCAAGTGAGGAGCTCAATACCAATATATATGTTTCAGCCATCCCCAAGTTTCATAACAATTATGAAACTCTTTCAGCTGTTCCCAAATTGTTACGAAAATAGATTTTCTTTAGGATGCAGGTACAAGAGAAGATACTTCTTTTGTAAGAAGGTACAAGAGAAGATACTTCTTCTTTTGATAGCCTTCTTTAAGGCTAAAGACACTTTAGCGTGTTCAAAAGCTCTTTGCCTTACAAATGACCCATTGTTTTAAAAGAAGCCAGAAGGGAGATTTCAGTTTGTTTTTCCCTTCCTCCCCAGTCCAATTTCTGCTGGATCGGGCTGCCTTTCCCCTCCTTCTATTTAGATTACATTTCTAGAATTTGGTTTTAGTGACAGGAAACTAAATACTCTATTACCTGGATTAGATAACTATAAACCAACTCTTTGTGCCTAAATTGGTAATAATAAACTACAGAATCATGGAAACTTTACAAACCATCAAATCAAATGTCTCATTACATGATTTATGTTACAATTTAGAAGAGTGATCATCCAACTACACTTTAAAAACCTCTCTTTAGAAACACTCTATGAGACAGTCTACCCCATGGATCCAAAATAGATTTTGGGCTTAATTATTTTTAAAATGTTTTAACAAGACCCAACTTTCTCCAACATATACCCAGTTGTTCAGGGAGAAGAATATTTCCTACAGGCCATTGATGTCTCAAGAATCTGCAGAACTCTTCCTTTGAGATTTATTTCTACTGGTAACTGAAAAATGACTAGCATCCTGAAGTAATTTTAACACATGCAAATCTTGAAACTACATGATCCAACAGCACAGAGTCCTTTTCAGAAAAATATAATCTAAGTAGCCAAGGATAATTTTTGAAGAGTCTCAGGCTTTACTTGCATCTTACAAAATGGTAATACGATCAAATGGTAGTACAATAAAATACAGCCTGCCATTATCACATCATCATTTTCATCCTCCTCTCCAGAAACAGATAACTGCATATTAATCTGCATACTCTTGTGTAGCAAAAGCTTTCTAAATCTTTCTTCTCCTAAGACATTTTTTGCTTTTTCTGTTTGCTTCTCTCCACTGTATGGAGTGTACTCCTTTCAGTATTGCTTTTTTGTCTGTCTCTACCAGAAAGGAAGATGAGAAAGAAGACTCTTCTAGAGGGTGTGAAAGGTTAATATGAAGAAAGGCTATGAAAATTCACATTCATAACCTTTGACCCCCATTGCTTAAAAATAGCTAATATTTATGCAATTCACTTGATCCTGTGCCTAACATGTCCCTCAGCCACTTCTTACATAATAAGTGCTACATCATTTTGACTTGCTGAGGCATCAATCACTTATTATGTATGTACTTAACCTGGATCATCAGTTCAGGGTACACTAGCAAAGTCAGCTCTAGATTGTGCTCCTGATTTTAATACTTCTCTGATTATCTAAGAAGCAGTTCAGTGTATTCTACCACCTCAAATTCATCATGAGTGGTGGGCAATTGAGATTGTGAGTATCTCACCTATTAAACTAAAGTCCTCCCAACAATGAGAAAAAGGGTAGAGCTAAGGAGGGAATATTTTATTAATTA